AATTAATTAATTAATTAATTTTATTTTTTTGATGGAGGTACTGGGGATTGAACCCAGGACCTTGTGCATCCTAAGCCTGTACTGTACTCTACCACTGAGCTATACTCTCCCCACTTCGTGGTCATGTTAATTAATTCTTTCAGATTCAGTTGCTATGGATTATTAACTCATTACTTTTGCGTAGCTTGGAAGCCCTAGAAGTCTTGGGAGATGGGGCAGGCAGAAAGAATTACCGCCTCTAAAGCAAGGGCAAGAGGACTATAAAGTACTCCTGCACATGTTTTAAACTATTGGTTAATCTTGTGTGGGGCTGCATCTCTGAGGAGAGAGCCATACAAACCAGACTGAATGGTGAAGACATAGTGGAAAGAGTGGCTTGCCTTGGAGGCCTGTATGGAGGAGAGGTCTGCCTTGGTCTGCTTGTCTACAAGGTTGGGTCTTAGGAAGTAGTTGCAGCATAGCCTGCATTGTATGTGAGGAGAGGCTTGAGTTAAGCCAAGAGAGGAAGTCTTGCTTATTGTAATGGTCCCCAAACCATAGCACAGGCTGGTGTGCAAAAGATTTTAGGAGGTATGCCAATATCATTTAGTTAACAGCAGTAGAGTAAGTCTGTTTCTTGCCTTCCCAGTACCCCTCAAAGTCTCATATAATAATAAAACAGAGTTCCTCTGATTTCACTGAAGGGAATACTGTAGTAAACTGTCTGCCTGAATGGCTGTCTTTAAAATTCTTAAACCAATCCAGGGAGTTTCGTTAGAAAAACAAATTAGAGATTTATTGCACTTCACCTAGTCCCCAGGCCCAAGAAATATCTAGGCCTTTGGGGGAAACCATAGTATCTTCATTTGTTTCCTTTTCTTCTCTTGTATTTGGTTTTCATGAAGCTCTCTGCCCTAAGAGTGTTGGAAAAAGGGAAAGGATGGTTCTTGGGGATTTCTTGGTCATCATGGAAACAGTACATGTCATGCCCAGGAAGAAAGCATTAGTGAAAGTGGGTAAAGACACCCAAGATGCTCTTGTAGACCAGTAATGTCAGTAAGCTCTAAGGCTTACAAAACTTGTAAATGACAGCAACCCCCAACCATGAGTTGGCAGTTTGTTGGCACTCAGTTCCCATGCAAAATTTAGTTTTATGCTATGAATGGTGCTGGGATATTCAGATAAGCTCATACAGACTCTAACCATGGTGTAGGTGAAGTATCAGTAGTATCACAGTAAATTCTAGGACCAGACAGTGAAGGGAAGGACAAAAAAATAGTGTTTTCTTCTTTTTCTGGATTCAGAGTTCAAAGGAGGCAATTTCAGAAAAAGGTGCTCATCTCTTTTTTTGTACTACTTTCTCCAGGCTACCCACGATGGCAATCTGATTGTCTCTCCTCAAGTATTAAAATGGGATATTGATCACTCATATGTGGAATCTAAAAAAAAAAAGAGAGAAAAGAGGACACTAAT